AACTTCTCCTTCAATTCCTTCAAACCTGGGACCAATTTGTTGTCCCCTCTCTTCACTTCTCATTCTTGCCTCCGCTTGCTCCCTCTCTCGAACTAAAAGTCGCAGAGTTCCGTTGATGTCCTCGTCCAGTGGTGTTAAAGTCAACGGATTGCTCCGGGTCATGCACCTCCCTACACACACTTAAAGAACACAACACGTCTAGCACAAACAAACTTCACAGTTTACAACATTGAAAATAAAAGCTAGATTAACACCAAACACACTTTTCACGATAACAGACCGAAGGTCCCCGGCAACGGCGCCAAAAACTTGGCTCGGTCTGAATATCACAATAAAATTCCACCTAAGGCCCAAGTATAAACCTTAGATGGGTGCAATATAGGGCAAGTATGTTTAAATATCGACCCGGCCCGACCCATGTACTGCTACTTCGATTGTTTAAAACATTATCTAGCATATATTTTTGGTTAAAACGAAGATCTAAAACTAAAGTACTTTTCAAATATGAAATGGTTTTGAAACTAATTGAGAAGGCTTCAACCGGGTGTTGCTCCCCCTAGCTAACAATTACGACTTGAAGGATCGAATGACCGTGTGTGGTGAGGGGGTTATAAACCGCAGGGAAGTCTAACAAGTAGCCAAAGCTACCCTCTTAGTCTCTAGGTCGAGGAAATGGGATACGATCCAAGCCACTAATGCGACCCTCTCAACCTCGAATTGGAGTTCAGACGGCCACCCACAACCAAACTCTAAGTGCTAATACAAAATAGGAGGTTTGCCCTACGTTAACCTAACTAGCAGACAACGAATTGCCCACGAAAACCCAACATTCAAGCCTCTTTCAAAGAAAGGAAGGGGGTTTTCTCTCTGTCTAGGTTAGAATGACAATTAGATTGATAGGCTTTAACACAACAAAATCATTCATGAATAATACCACCACATTCACATTAAACACACCACACACAAATCATTCAATTCATAGAAGCATTCACATAATTGTAGCTAGGGTTTACAAACACCCAAGTCAAAGAAGGGACTACTCCATGCTAGGAGAAGGGAAAACACAAGGGAGAAGAAAGAAAACCATAAAAAAGATGCTAGCATTGCTCCTTGTGTTGAAGAGATCCTCCTTTGGGGAAGAAATTCCCAAATCCTTGCTTGGTGATGAAACCCTAGCTTCTCCTCTTCTTTGGTTGGTCACTTTCTCACTCTAAAAATCTGAAGAAGAAGAAGAAGTTTCTCACACTAGACCTCCCCCTTTCTTCTTCCTTTAAGCTAGCTCTTTATATGAGATGGTGCCCATTTCACGGCACAAGTTCATGGTCGTGAACATCAAAACGCGTCCGTGAACACAGTGTGCTTAACCAAAACGCACCACTTCACTTCTTGGGTTCAAGATTTGTGGTTGCAGTTCACGGTCTTAGCGACCGTGAACAGCCTTGGCGTCAGTAACCTCAAAAATCCCCCCTGGACGCTTCTTGATTCACTGTTTGTTGTCCCAATTCACGGTCCTGGAGACTGTGAATTCCAATGGCAGACCGTGAACACAAGCTGTTTCCTCCTCTTTGCCCAGTCTTTGCTCCTTTTCTTCCAACTTTCGAATCCGAGGTTGGTTTCACCTGTTAGGATCTGAAACACAAGAAACCTAGCATAAAAATACCCCTTTGGAGCTCAATTGCAACAAACGCGAAAGAGAAACGGGGATAAAAAGTGTACAATTAGACCCGAATCACATGGCTACATTAAATTGCTCAAAATCTCAAAATCCTAGGCCACTGTTAAACTTGCTGTGATAGAGCGTCTTCCAGAACGTCCAATGAAAGCCATCATCATGGTCTTGATCAGCCCGCCAAAACTTGGAAACATAGCCATTCAATCGCCTGCAAGTTGAGAGTGGTAAAAGAAAGCAAGACATAGCAAATAATGGGAGAGCAGCCCACACAGATTTTACCAGAATCTTTTTACCTGCAAATTATAAAATAATTATTTTATTTACTGTCCAAATTTTTGGTCGCCGAAATTTTGTCTGTGGAATATTCTAATTGTTGCCAGAATATGCTAACAATCACCGGAATCCTCTTATCGTGGCCGAAATATGCTCAACGTCTCCAGAATATGAGCACTCTAGCCGAAATCAGATCACCATGGTAGAAATATGCTTATCGACGTCGAAATCTAGTCATCAGGGCCGGAATATGCTTATCGGTGCCGAAATCCGGTCACTGACAGTCATCGAAGCTTGGTTAACAGTCTTCGTTGACCGGTCAATGATCAACGATCACTGAATATTGTGGTATGCATTGTGAGATTTATGGTTTGGTTTCTCGTGATTTTGGTACGCCTTTTGTGGTGTGCTTTATCGTGTTTGTGGTTTGCATTAAGAAGTTTCTGGTGTGCTTCGGAAAATTTGTAGTTTGCTTTATGAGGTTTCTGGCTTGTTTTAATATATTTGTGATATGTATTACAACACTTCGGGTTTGCTTTACCGTGTTTGTGGTTTACATTAGGAGATTTTTTGTGCGTTTTTCGAAATATTTGTGGGATTTCTTGTATAGTTTAGGAGACTTGTGGTGTGCATTAGGAGATTTTTTGTATGCCTTTTGTGGCCTGTTTTATCGTGTTTGTGGTTTGCATGAATAAGTTTTTTGTGTGCTTTCAAAAATTCTGGGGTTTGCTTTGTGAGGTTTCTGGTATGTGTTTAATAGATTTGTGGTCTGTATTAAGAGATTTTCGGTTTGCTTTTTGTGGTTTGTTTTACCATGTTTGTGGTTCGCATTAGGAGGTTTTTGGCGTGCTTATGAAGTGTTTTTTATATGCTATATGAGGTTTTTGGTTTGTTTTAGAGATTTGGGGTTTGCATTAAGAGATTTTTTTGTACACAATGAGAAACACAAAACTTACTTGCTAGTACAATAGAAAGCCCAGGGCTAGGTTTTCGTCAGTAACCCCATGGTTACTTACCATGAGTAACTATAATCTCAGCCATTAGATTTAAGTGGCCCCAGAAAAAATCCAGATGTAAGGGTGGAGAATTAAATGCATTTTTATTTTCCCTTGTTTTCTTAATCGGCTCATATCTTCTTCGTTTTAACTCAAATTTCTATTTTTTGCATAAATGGAACGAATTTGTTGTGCTCTACAAAATGAGATCAATTTTTAATATTTTTTGAGAAAAAAATTTATTGCCTCTCGTTATCAACTGCATACCATATGGTATTTTTTCGTTTTTAAGTCGGTTTTGAAAATTTTTGCACAGAAGGAACGAATTTACCATGATCTATTGGATCTACAAATTTATGGGAAAATAAAATATATGACCAAAAAATACTACACAATACCACCCTGGTACGGGGTGGTATCTTGTGGTACAAGATGTTGAAAGTTGTAAATAACAGTTAGTATACTCCTACTATCATGTATTCAATCATCCTACAGTCTTGGTATGTTCATACCACGATGGTAAGCTTTTTCATACCATATGGTATTCACTTGTTTAATACCAGTCAATACCATATGGTATATACTCGCAAAAAATGACTCAATTCTTTTTGTTCCAAAAATATATCAAAATGGATATCATTTTGAAGAGCACAATTAATTTGATCTAACTGTGCAAAAAAATTTAAATTCCAACTTAAAACGAGTGAGTAATCATCCGTTAAAGATTAAGAGAAAAAAAATTAAAGGTTTTCCAAGAGAGAAAAAGGATGCTAAGACTGTCCACAGCAAGAAGGGAAAAAGAGGATAAAAAGGGAAAAAAGAAGAAAATGGCTCACAATAGGGGTGGGTATTATGGAAAAAAAAGTATAAAAGAGAAAGAAGGGGAGGGTTTCTCATGCGCTAGAGGTTAAAAGGAGAGGAAGTGGGTCCACGTGGGTGAGAGGAGGAAGGGAAGGGGGACCATGTGGGTGGGTTTTTTTTTGTTTTTTATTTTTAGAAATTGTTTTATGGTTTTCTTATTGGATTTTTATGAGTTATTGGATTTTAGTGATAAAAATTTTTATGTCCAAATTAAAAAAAATTATATCGAAATGTTCGTCTTAATTAATTAATACTATCTATATAAAAATAATGAATAAATTATCAAAATAAAGTTACCATATCAACTCTAGATTGATTTTAAAAAAAAAACCCCTCCCCAATATCCTTTTTTCCCTACCACCTATTGTGTCCATTATCCTTCCCCCATCCTTTTTTCCCACTTTTCCCATCCTCTTTTTCCTTTTTTCCCTTCCACCATTGTGGATAGTCTAATGTGGTTGATGGTGATTGGTTTACTCATGGTTACTATCACAAGATTACTCATGGGAACCGCTCCCGAAAGCCCAAACACCCCAGAAATACAACCATTTTTGAAAGCTTGTTTGTGTGAGAGTCAATAAGACTGTTGAATGCTTGTTTGTGTGATTCAATGAGGTTGTGCCTGCCGAACTAATTCCTCTCACTACCAACCCCGATTCATATCTCATCGAACCAATCGCTAAGCTTGAGGTTGTAGAACAAGCCATCGACGTCATCTTCAACGAGCGAGTTGATGACGTAGTTGCATATTGATAGTATTGAGTGGAAATCCTAAAACCTGGGTTGTATCTTGCATTGAGATGAATATATATGTGGGTTTTGCCACTACAAGCCAAGGATCAGCTAGCTGTGCTTTTACAATAGAGTGATAGGTGAAAAAGAAATGCAACAGAGAAAATACAAAAGGACTATTCTGGCGGGATCTGTTCTGTTGTGTCATTTAATACAACGGTCGGCTTGACTCCTTAAACGACGTCGCTCCATGTGATTTTCCTTCTCCCTATGTGACTAACAGATGGCGTGGTCTGGGAAATGGTGGATGAGATTTTCAATTTCTGTTATTATTGCACCCGAAAGAACAGATCTTCTCCACCAGATCTAGCTTCCCCAACAACGAGTTTCCCGTCACCACTTCCGCCGCCACCGTTGTCGCGAACACAATAGACTGTTATTATACAAACCGGACCTAACAAGGTTAGGAGAGCGAAGCAGGAGCGGATCAGACAAATTTTCAGGTCTAATTTAAGGTACGGTACATATGAGTCTATCCAACCTGTACCTATATGTATCATAACAAATGGGTAAATTGCAAGGGTGGTCACTGAGATTATTAAAAACGTTCACGTATGGTCATTAGAAATATTTAATTTCATTCGTGGTCACTAAAATTACTAAAACAGTTCAAGTTTGGTCACTCTCCGTCCAACTCCGTTAACTTTTGCTTATGTGGCGGTCAACTCTAAAAATTGACCGTTAAATGTGTGACATGGCAATAAAAAATAATAAAATAAATAAATATTAAATTTTTAAGTTTTCCACCTCTGCAACTATTAAAAAATAAAAAATAAATTCATTTTAAAACTAGCCGCCGTCACCGGCGCCATAGACGTGCTGCAAGAAGAGTGCGAATCTGGGTTCCACGCCATGGCGGCGGAACTGATCGCCGGAAAATGAATCAAGTTCGGCCTCAAAATCAGCGTGGCGCTATCCATGGATTCACATTTCGTTGAATTATTAATATAAAATGTACAGAGGAAAAAGAGAGAGCTAGAAGCACAACCAACCCTCGTTGTGATTTTCGCCCTACTTTCCTCCAAAAGCTTAATTTCTCATGAGACAGCCACCACCACTATTAGTATAATCACCTACTTATACTCACTTCCCAATTTCCCTTCATCTCCTCCAATCCTTCACCCCCAATTTCCCTCCGTCGCGACCAACCTCAATTTCAGCCATGGGGAACTACTTCGCCATGGGAACTCCGGTCAACCACTACCAAGCCCCGACCACCATCGCCGCCGCCTCTCCAAGTTTTATTTCGTCCATTGCATATCGTCCTACAAGCCCTTGAAGATTTAACGACCGTTTGTTGCTTTTAGTTGTCGGAAATTGAAATTCTGTTGGGTTGTTATTCGATTTGGCAGAGTTTCGTACGCAGCTGAATAATAGCAGCAATGACGTCGTTGAGAGCGTCAATAGTAATGGCGGAGATCATAGTACTACAGGCGGCGAACCGGCGCCGCCGGTGGGTAATACAAGGAGGCCGAGCTTGCAGATCCTCAAGCCGACAGACTTGAAGAGCGAGACGAGGAATTTTCAACCGCACAAGGTGCTCAGGGAGGGTGAGTTTGAGACGGTTTACAAAGGCTGGATCGACGGGAGAATTTGGCGCCGCCGTGGCGTGGAACCCAGATCCACATTCTGCTTGCGGAACGTCCGACAAGTAAATGGATATTTCTTTTATTTTTTAATAGTTGCAATAAGCCAATAATAAGTGGAAAACTTAAAAATTTAATTTTTCTTTATTTTATTATTTTTTATTGCCATGTCACACATTTAACGGTCAATTTTTATAGTTGACCGCCACATAAGCAAAAGTTAACGGAGTTGGACGGAGAGTGACCAAACTTGAACTGTTTTAGTAATTTTAGTGACTACGAATGAAATTAAATATTTCTAATGACCAAACATGAACCTTTTTAGTAATCTCAGTGACCAACCTTGTAATTAACCCCATAACAAATAGATAAAATTTCCCAATGAGCGCCTCACATGTTTAGAGTCACCACGACATAAATCCCCTGGCTTTGAAATCTCATTACAGAAAATCTAATAACACAACAAAAGTGAGTTTGATACAATCATTTGCTAACCATATCGAATCTAGTGTTCTACTAGAGAGAGTACAGGAAAGGTTTGACTATGCATAACAGATAGATCCTGTTCATTCCTACTCATCAGACCAACACCAATGTCCTCCAACACATTTTGGGAGACCTCGATATTTCTGCTTCAGCTTTCAGATAAATCTTCTCAAGTAGAAATTGCTGGAGAGAAACCAGTAACCTTGCATGTAAGAATAACTGCCACCTTCAAAGACCCATTTATGGAGCCTTCAATAGCTCTTCCTCATTCAACCTTTGCAATGACTCCAGAGGGAATGCCGCCTTCCCCAACAGTCTCCCTAACAAATCTGCAAGCAATTGGAAATCCACTTTTCAGGGAAGAGGGAGTAATCAAAGCACTGTCCATCTCAGACTATAAAAAGCTCAAGTTTTCATCTTTTGTAATAACAAACAAAAAGCATAGTACCTCGCTAATTTGTCCCGTGATGACTGCAGGATGTAAATTGAGAGAATGAAAGACATCATAAGGCCTGTTTGAATGCATCAAAACATTTTTAGACAGACGCACTTTTTCAAGTAATAAAGTACACCTATTAATCATCAGTGCTACAAGATAACAGCTCTAGTATGTTTAATATAGGAACCAGGATTACCTGATCCGAACAAAACATAAAAACCAGCAGCCACATCTATATCAGAATGCTCCTCCCTGACACGCCAAAACATAGACTTTAGTGAAGTTCCTTACCAATTCAGAATGGCAGCAACTGGAAGCAAACTCGGCGAGCTGGTGTTTTCTATACAAGATCATGTAATGATTAGAGATATCAATCAGGAAAATACACAGCCAGAATCCCTGGACCGCGATACTAACCAAGTGTATCTCACAAGAACATGCTTGGGCCAATGCTGAGGATCCCAAAATTGTTTACGGATGTTGGGGTGTATTTCCACATCTGTTAAGTCCAAAACATGAAAGAATTGACAGGTAACCTAAATTAGATCCAAATGCGAACAAACAAGTTAAAACGAAATGCATATGATGTTAGCATAACTCATTTGTACAACAAAGACGGTAATGATTAAATGCATTGGCAGATGAAGAAAAAGGAACCTATGCAGTAATGCAGCATCTGTACAATTTGAAAATTCACATATATAAAGAACAGCAACATACTAAAATTAAACACAGAATTTAGGTTGGTTTGTTAGAGAAATATTGTTAATAAGCATGGTTCGTACGCGCGATTGTTTCCCTATAAAGATGGATTATGCATCCATAAAAGAGACTGGTAGAAAGTTCAGAAGATTGTTACATACAGTGATGAGGCATATCTACAACTTGCGAAGTGATACCATGCAAATCACCACCTGCATACCTCTGCATCAAAACAAAGCACACAACCAATAAAAAGTAAAATACAATGTCATTTATTGAAGAGAAATTTGCAAAAAGTATCTTTTGACCAGTGTATATTCTACAAGGACAACTTGGCAAACATGCTGCAAGAAGACCCAACTTATATCATAATGATAAGTGCATCAGAAGTGAAGGGCTTACCAAATGCACATCAATCATAGGAACCTCAGAACTTTTCCTATTTATCACGTAAAGCCACGGAGTTTGATACTTTTCCCTTCCTACTTGAAACGATCTGAATGCAAAAGGAACATGAAAACGCATAAGCACATAAACTAGTTCCACAAACATAATCCACTGCAGAGTGAAACTTAGAGGGCCAACTCTTAGTGAAATATGCCAAAACCGGAACCCGGGAGCTTCACCTAAGCAAGCAGTTGATAATGAGACCTAAGTTGAGTAAACTGAATTCATCGGCCAAAGGATCTCATATGCCAATTGAAGCAAAACAAGTCAAACATTGAAGTAAAAATTCCCAAATAAGGGATAAATGGAACGAATTCCTCACATCTTGTAAGGATCTGCACCGGTGTAACCCGTGGGCTTTGCGATCGGAACCAAAACCTGCGCATAAAATTTCAATCATCAGCCACCCCAGAGAAGGGATAATCCAATTTGGCGTGCTTAAAAATGAAGCTCACCTCGCGATTGACGCCAAAAATGGGGCAATGCTTGCCGATCATATCATGCCACATGGTTCTGGACTGAGAAAATTTCAGCAATCTAATTAGATGTTCCCGTCAAGTGCCTGGGGACAATCCAACTACTACAACGCTAGGAAGGGAGGGGAAATAGAGAAACGGACCGAGTGGTACTGCCCCATCTTGCTCATCGGAACGATGTCTCCCGGCCGGTATGCCACAGTAACGGACGACAGTGACAGTATGAGTAGAAGAACAACCGTCGCAATTCTGCTCCGACTTCGTCCCTCGGTGGCCGCCATCCCGCTGCAATTCCCAGTTGAGAAAGAGAGGAATTTCGTCATACACTTCGGGGTCATTTGGATGCAGGTTTTGGGTGTGGGATTTGGGCACAATCCTACGTAGTGTAGGATTTTAATTAAATCACTCGTTTGGAAAACAATTATATGATGAGAGATTTTAAATATTAGAGATTTCAGAAACCCACAATTGTGGGATTATGAAATAGCTGATGGTGATCAGCTATTTTAAAATCCCACACAAATCCCACAAATTAAAAACCTAGGTTTTTGAACCAGTGATTTGAGCCAAAATCCCACAAATTAAAAACCTGCATCCAAATGACCCCTTCCAAGAACCACTTTCCCAGCATTGTTTGTCCCGAGTCGCGACACTCTTGGCAGGTGACAGACCCGAACTCGGCCCAGGCCCAAGTGTAGATAAAAAGAATGTTGCAAGTTGGCCCAGCTCAGCTACGAACTCGAGCCCTTTGGGACCTGCCAATGCCATGTCCATCCTCTCTATTTGATTAAGGTTTTTCTTTTTCGAAAATCAATATGAGAATTTATACCATTCAGACTTGCTTAGTGGACTTACAATCCGAATCAATTAGAGGCCTGCTAGTCCATACTTACTTCCCCATCACCCAATGACATATGGTGTGGGTCATTAGATGTACCGATTTGTTTCTATTTCGGCCCGTAAAGAGAGATTGAAGTTGTCTCCAATTGCTCGACCTCTTCTCGTCTCTCGTGATACACATCACCTATCTCTTTCTCTGTCGATTATCATTTCCCCGCTTATGAATCACGAACAAATCAGTTAGATTCAATCTCACCTGACCATAAATCGTAACATCTCGCCATCCGTAGACCAAATTTAATTGCATGTGCCTCTGCCAGTTCCGGTGACTATTGTCGCTGCGGTATGGCTACTACCGCCAGTCGTTAATTTCCTTCTGCATCTCTTACCACCACCCCGTACGTGGTCCCATGTCCCTGAAAAATTGTCGCATCTACATTAATTTTGTAGCTTCCTGAGATTGTCAAACTTTAGATCTTCTGTTGTAGCACAGGTTAAAGTCTAAATAAGTATTGATTATGAGTCTCCTTATACACCTATGCTAATTCTAGTGCTCATTTGACAATCTATCATTCTTCTTCTTCTTCGGTTCCATAGGTGGCATTTGCTGTAACACCCTAGTCCGCCCGAACACTACTTTTACTAAAATGCCCTTGATAAAGCGTGAAAAGTAAGAACGGGAAAGTCTTGAAAAAAATGACTGAAGGTTTTCATAAATAACTTTAATAAGTATTAAAAATAAACTGTCATTACTTAAAACAAAGCCCTAAAACTTAGGCAAATCATAAAACCCAATCAGGTTCTCCAGTCTATACTCATAATCATAAACTAAAATAACTAAAAAGTTCGTGCTCTCGCTAATTGAGATTCGTTTCTCTGACATCTTCAATGACACTCGTGCTTCTCTCCTCTAGCTAGCTACTCTCGAACTTGGTGCTCCCTCATACCCCTACTACGACCTGGTGAGTGATTTGGGGTCAGTCTACGCCCTTATGTTAAAAATCTCTAATACTAGAGCACTTTACTTAAGACACTTACTTGAAATTGGGGAAGTTGTTTGTACTTCCTTTCTTAAAATTCTAACTCTAAAAATTGTATTGGAGTTAAGGTTACTCTTCCTTCTTAAAGCTCAAATCACGACTTAAATACTTGACCAACACGTGGATCCCTCACTAGCTAGTTCGATTGCCCAACTCATACGTATGAGAGCCCATCCAAGTTTATGATTCATCCCCTAACATTTTAAACTTGTCGTGAAATTCGTAACGATTCATGATAATCTAGACAATTGTTCCTCGTATAAGCTTGTTATGCACATTCCATGATAAGCTAATACCCTAACCAATACATTAGCGTATATCCACATGAATTAAGTACTGACTCATTCCATTTATCAAAAAAAAAAAAAAAGTACTGACTCATTCCAGCATTCCTAGCTCCCACTTCTCTTTCTACATATAGTTACTATCTCATTCCTTCTTGTATTCCACAATTATTTCACAGCTAGATCCTATACTCCTCTATCAACCAGAGCCACCACCAACAGTTTACCAAGTTATCAACTGATCCTTCTCCCAACTGTAGTCTTGCGTATGCATCCATACACCACTAATCCATTAGAACAACTAAACAAATCAGGAAGCTAAGCCAACAACCATTTAATCACAACTAAACCTCCACCTCTAAAAATGGACTTCATGAATGCCCCACTCTAGCTATTATCACCATGATTTGCTTTCTCCCATTCCAAAGTTAGACCAATTCTTAATTAGCTAAATTGATTAACCCAATTTGACAAGCACCTTCTTTTCCACCGTGCTGCGTATACAACTCCTGTGAGCAGATAAAGCCACGTACCAACTAAAAGACACGGTATGTAGACCTGGCTTTACCTTAATTTGGCAGCCTCTGCGTTGTTTGGGTATTCCAGTTTTACACCGATGCTCTCCGCCCATGAACCCATACTGGAATGTCCATTACTTGGACATTGTGCTCGCGATTCGTCTACCTGTCAACGTGTCTCTTAGCTCATGCCCTGTCGACCGCGACTCTCAATTTTTTTTTTCCTCACGCGACTCTCAATTCTTGTTTCCTCTAGTTACTGGGATCAACTGGCTCTTGGCATCGTATCAGAGCTGGTTTGGCCAAATGATCGTGTGTTCGAATCTCCACGACCCCCAATATTAATAGTTGATTAAAACACAAGGTATGATGGGGCTTTACGGATTATATTTTATCTATTGTTATATTGGAAAAAAATAAAAAACCTTTAAGACTCGGAGAGCTAGAAATTTAAACTCTCTTTCTCACAAGCAAAAGCTAAGAGAGCATAGAAGAATTCTTTATACTCAAGCAATCCACTGTATTTTTTAGCAAGACAGATGCCTTGAGCATCTAATTCATTAAGAAATCAAACAATCTTGTGTAATCCTTATAACGTCATCCATAAGCCATTGTCTAAGGCTCGGGCTAGTCTCATAAGAGAGATGAGTGCCAAAAGGGAGTGAATGACCTTGCTATTAAGGACGTCCACAAAAACATTGTCTTCATGATAAACACGGGACACCAAGATTCCAACCATAACTCACCAAGATTTCTAGTGAGGATGTCATACCTATTGTCAGTATCTTTGTAGGTGGTCCCGCTTGAGTCCTCTCTAGCAGCTACTTTATTGATTGGGTTAAGTATTGAGCCATATGTTCGAAATTGAATCGAGCCTCTCGGGGGTGGTTTCATCCAATCTGATAGTTGGATCTGGGATTAACTTCCTGCAACATTCAATTCAGGGAGCTTTTTTTGGCTTGTTCATAAATGTTGAACCAAGCCATAATTTTATGAATAAACCCTATCTTTGAGTAATTGTTGATGTCCAAGACCTCTTTGTTGTGTTGCTTCCACAATGTGTACATATATGTGTGATTGGCGTGTGAACAATGAGTGTGAATGACCTGTTTGAATGTGTTGGAGCCTTATGATTGCCTAATTTCTACAATTTGAGGGCTCCAACCACTTGTGCAAGAATGAATGATTAATGGTCGATATTGAGATGTGTTTTGGAACCTAGATTGTTGCTTGAATTTGAAAATATTAGGTGTTCCAATCACAATTGTCCCTAGAATGATCTTGCTCAATGTCCTTTTAATCGTTTGATGATTATGATGGTGTTGCATTATATGGAATAGAGTAGTGCCATGAGAATTCTTGATAATGACTGGCTTTACTTTGATTTTCTCTTGGTTATGTGAAAGTGTTTGTTATAGAGGTTAGGACTTGTGTGTGATACTCCCCAAGTTAGAAATCCAAAATGTTTCGCAAAAATTGCTCCAAATTGAATTTTTTTGAAAAATTGAGGTTCTTACGTGAGAGGCAATCGAGCATAGTGTTTCAGTTAAGCCGCCGAAGGGCTCTTCTGTTGGTCCGGAGTGCGTTTGAGGATGTGTTTGGGATCGAACAAATTTCTAGCATCCCGATCATCTTTCAATACTTTCCATCCCTCAAACACCTCTTTTCATGTACTCGTATGGAGAGGAGATAGTGTGCCTTTAAGCGAGTCACGAGATCTCGGCTTTTGTTTTGCTCCTGCCATGTGTGGCAACCCGTCTGTCGTTGAGATGTGGACTGCAGGTTGGGAAGTGGTGCTTGAGCAATGAATCCGACCATCATGTTCCCCACATGAGGCCGAGATAGGGAAGTCAATGTTTCTTTTGCTCTAGGTCACTAGGGATAGATGCCTTAATTTGAAAAATTGCAAAGTGTGGTGTCGTGCATGGAAAGTTTAAGTTGAGGATAAAAAAATTGAGTCCTCTTTGGAAAAGTGCGAGCACCACCATGGAGTCCTTGGATTTTCGCATGTTTTCTATGAGTACCCCCAGTGCGCACGTGAAGTTTCTTGACCTCCTTAGTTGACAAGGTACTCAACCAAGAGTGTGCATAGCACGAAGAGAAGTAAAGTTTACTTGACTTCGATTATTTTCAAGGCACCAGTGATGATTGATAGTGCATACTTGTGACCTTTGATGTGTTCGCACCGTCCTTGGAGCTAGTTTACACAGGGTTTTGTTCCTGATTTTCATGTTACAGACTTATGCAGGTAATCTATGCATCGGGATCCAAAGTTGGACAAAAAAGTGCGAAAAGGGACCAAAATGGTCAAAAGTACGAAGATCACGCCTAGATAAAGATTATCATGAGTAGTAGACCGTGATGTCAACACTCAAACTGTGAAGATACATGTTTTCAGGAGGGTTTGTTTAGCTCATGGGCACTACAAATGCCACGGTCTCTCGACTATGAAGTAAATAAGAAGACCGTGAAGTTGGTTAGTGAAACAACGCATTTTGTGCAAGATCGTTGTTTCATTTCCTACTTCACGGGCATGATGTTGGACCATGATTTCAGCAGTCGAGAGCTATAAATAGAAGTGTGAGCTGAAGGAAGTAGAGAGAGTTCTAGAGAGAGAATGTAGGCTTCTTCTTCAAAGCTTAGAGAGAGACCTACGAACTAAGAAGGAAGGAAGGAGAATTTCACCTACCGAAGGCTAGAGGAAACCAAGCATCTAAGAAGAGGAGGAAGCACTTTGCCATGGTTTTCTTCTCTATTCTAGGTGTATTTTCTCTTCTAGCTATGGAGTATACTCCTATTTCACTTGGATGTTGTGAAGTCTAGGATGTGTTAGATTGTAGGATTTGAACTCTATGTGTGTAGGGTTTGTGATTTATATAATGATTCAGGTATTATATATAGAAATAGCCCTCAATTTAGGGACAAGTTGACCTAGAAGGAGGAAATCCCCTTATAGCCCATTCTTGGAAATTCCGGAAACCTTCTCTAGGCCAAT